GCTTTTGTCAGCTATTTTGTCACAGCTGTGAGGAAGGTGACCAAAGACATAGGAAAGACCAAACAAGACCTTTAATCTTGCCAAGTCTCAAAGTTAGTGTATTAGGCAGTTATCTCTCACTGTGACAAAATACCTGAGAAAAATCAACTTTAAAGGAAAAACGGTATATGAATATGAGGTATGTGTTCCTCATAGCTTTAGCTGTTTCAGTCATGGCCGTTTGGTCCCATCATTCTGGGTCTGTGCTAAGGCAGAATGTCATGGCCTGTGGTGCCAGGTTCACCTCCTGGCAGCTGGGAAGCAAAGACAAAGGAAAAGCAACTAGAGTCCTAGTGTGTCCTTCAAAGATACACCTCTACAAATCTGCTTTCTCCAAAAAGAAGTACCCACCACCTAAAATTTCATTATCTCCTAAAACTGTGGCTCTCAACCTGTGGGTCAAGCAAGACCCTTTTCACAAAGGTCACATGTCAAATATCCTGCATATTGTGTATTTACATTATGAATCATAATGTAGTAAAATTACAGTAGCAATGAAAGTAATTTTATGGTTGGGGTCACAACAACATGAGGAACTTTATTAAAGGGTGGCAGTATTAGACAGTTAAGAATCACTGTCTGAAAAGCATCATCAGTTGGGGACCAAGATGTCCACAAATGAACTGTTGAAGGACACCCAAGATCCAGACTTAAAAAATAGTGGCATTAGGAAGTTAGAGCTCTCTGCACCACCTGTAGACAGCCGGAAAGGTGGCAAGTCTCCACCCCTGAGTGGGCCTTACTGCTTATGTAATCTCATGGAGGGAGGTACCTCGTGCATCTGGTGAGTCTCAGGGACTTTGTGCGTCTTAAGGGGCCTCTCTTTAGAATTTCTTGAATCCTATGGAGCTTCCCTTCAGATGGAATATTTCAATTCAGAGGGAACTGCATCCTAGAAGTTCTCAGTCCTCGGGCATAATTCCACCATTACTAGGAACACATAGAGCTGGAACACATATGTTTAGAGACAGGCCAAACAGGAGATGTGGCGTGGGACGACCAGCAGACTTTTCTTGGAAACAGATTATGAATCCCATTCCATAGAGGAGGAAGATGACAGTAAGGTCCTCAGCCAGCCTGACTCGGTGTCTGGACTTCATTGTTGTTCTAACATCCAAAGTCATTTTGTTTGGAAATCCTAAGGTCCTAGCTGAGGTTATTGTAGGCTTGCTCATCAGCTCCTTGCTGAGGCAACAGTGCAACTGGAAAAAAGGCATAGCATAGTAAATAACCAGACCTCCATCACAGGAAAAGGAAGAGCCAAAAATTAGAAAGTCTCCACTCATCTCTTTGAGAAACTAGAGTGCATTAAATATCTCTCCCGCTGCCACACTAAATGTTGTTTTTGAGTTTAGAGTCTTGTTTGTATATTTTAAATAAATTTCATAATTAAGCCACAAATGTTCCCAGAGCACTTGGACATATTTAAATTATAGGCTTCTGATGTAATGGAGAAAAATCACAAATATGGGCATTAATGATTCCTTTTGTTTGTCTGGTGCCTTTCATGGCTCTCAAATGGGTCTGCCAGCTTAATGGCCAATTCCAAAGCTGCTGGGGATGGGGGGAAGGTGGTGACAAGATGACAGGAAGTAAAATCCCTACAATGGCAAAAAAAAATTACAGTTCTTTTAAGAAAACATTTCCTTTGTGCCTAAAATTCATTACAAGCCAGTTTAGAATACACAAACAAGGCTGGTGGTGTAGCTCAGTGGGAGAGTGTGTCGGTATGTGGGAGACCCTGAGTTTTATCCCCAGCACTAAACAAAAACCATAATCAAACTGACAAAGGAGTGTCTCTCTAGCTGGCAGTGCTCCATGCCATGTACTGCTGCCAGAATCCCATTCCCAAACTCTGTGCAAGTGGGCTTTGGAACCTGCAGGATCTGGGTTCAAGTCTACTTTGGTGATTGCTGTGGGATCTGCCTGGACAACTCAGAATCTGATGTCTACCCAACCACTTGTAGCAACCTCTCAACCACTAACAACTGTCAAATAAAGATCAAATTCAAACCCAGTAAAGAGGCTTTATTTTTTTATTTGAAAGATACTTGAAAGGAGGAAAGAGACCACAGCTGACTGTCGTTACTTTTCAAACCTGGACAAAGAGCTGAGTTGTCTAACATATCAAAGCAGTCCTGGCCTCCGAATTCTTCCAGTAGCCCTTCAGTCCCCACCTGTTACAGAGTATGACTGGCATAGCCTGCCCTCCACCCTGAACTCTCCAGCCCAGGGACTGGGCTGCACTCCCTCCAGAGGCTCTTCCCTAGATAGCCCAGCCATTTTGATTACCTGCTTCTTTTGTAGCTTTGGCCTCCTGGCTGCTATACCTAGTTCCTCTCCCTCTGCTCTCCCTTTCTGTCCTGCTTCTCATCAAAGGGCTCAGGGACTCTCTGCCTCTGGCTATGTTTCCTCTTCACCTACAATAAACTTTCTCTTCCACTGACCTATGAGCAGTCATCTTTCCTTTCCCCTTTCTTTCTTTCTTTTTCTTTCTTTCTGCTCTTTACTGCAGTAAAGAGCCTGTGACCAAAAGGTATGCAAGTGCCCTTTAAGGGTAGACCAAAAGCAGAGAGAGGAGTGGGGATAGGACATGGAATTCAGAGGCCAATATTAGGCATTTTCCCAAACTGCTCTCCACATTATTGAGACAGCAGCTCTCTAACCCTGGACCTCACCGATTCTGCTGAACTGACAGAACAGCAAGCCCTGGGGGAACCTCCTGTCTTTGCCTCCCCAATTCTGGAATTGCTCCTACACTTGGGTACTGAGGATTTGAACTCAGGACCTCATACTTGCAGAGCAAGTACTTAACTGACTGATTGCCTTCCCAGTTTGAGCTTCTCTTTCACAGAAAAGAAATCCAAAGCTAGAAAATCCAAGGAGGTATGCTGTCATAGCAGGTCAGAGTTACTGCACCCTGGGTCACCCTGTGTGCAGCTATATGGGGACCAACACCTCTAATTTGGTTCTCCAGCATTTTGTAGATAAGTGGAAACAAGTAGTTCGGCTAATCACTTATTAAATCCAGCATAGAGCTTTGGAGGGACTGTCTGGCCTGTCACAGGGAATGAAGGTGCATCCTGGAGTTTTCCCTATGTGCTATGGGAAGGATGTTTTCCTGCAGTAAGTTGTTTGCTGCAATGCAAAGGGATGACAAGATTTGTTTCTTCACTGTTTTCCAAGGGTACTGTATCCAGGTAAAATTCAGCACTTACTACGTGGTGGATGTAAGGTAAGCAGGTTTAGTCACCAGCCTGTGAGCCTAGTGATTATGACAGCTTTTTGTTCTTTATTTCTTCCCTCCATAGCTGGGAACAACAGCTAACTATGATTTTAAAGTTTTCTAAGGGTGTGTGTGCATGCGTGCATGTGACGTGCACATGTAAGAATGGAAAAATTTAGCCTAATTTTCCCTAGACTCTGTCTGCCCCCTAGCAGTGAGTAGGCAAAAGGTCATTCTTGACTGTTTACAACAGGGCGGTTTACCGACAGCATCTGTGAGTGAATGAGAACAAGAAATGAGCCTTATCACACTACCCAGAAGGCCTAGCCAAAGCAGACTTCCTGGGCTAAAGCTGGCTTAGATAGTTCAAATTGGTTGGTCCGCACTGGATGCTATGAGATTATTGGTTTGTGATGCGCGGGCGGGCTTTGTTGTAACCCTATAAAAGCTGTCTGATCCCTGTACCCAGAGTTCCCAGTCCTCTACCCCACATGGAGTATGCAGTGCACTGGAATATAAAAGACCTCATGCTTTTGCATCAAGACCACTTCTTGTGAGTGATGGGGGGGGGGGCGCCTTTCCTGAGTCGGGGCGTGAGGGTCCACGCCCTCCGTGGGTCTTACACACACTCCCTACAGGAAGGAGTTAAGGCTTCCAGGTGGGCACACAGATCAGGAAGGAGCCATGGCCACTAATAAGGAGTTGCATTTCCAAGATGGCCAACTTCTTGTGCACCCTTATGACCAGACAAAGGCCTGGAAGCTTAAAACAAAGGCCTTGTAGCAGGCGGTGGTGGCACTGGCCTTTAATACCTGCACTCAGGAGGCAGAGGCAGGTGGGTCTCTGTTAGTTCAAGGCCAATCTGGTCTGCAGAGTGAATCCCAGGACATCGAGGGCTATGCAGTGAAACCCTTCAAAAAGGGCCTTGTAGGCTTTGTCACCCACAAGCAGGATCCCTGTTGATCCACTGGCTTAACAAGTTATGGCCAGATCAGGACATGTAACAACAGTTGCAAAACAATCAAACATCCTTTCTTTAAACCCACCAACCCTAAATTAGGGAAGGAAAAGATTTTTTTTTTAAATCCCAGCCCTTTCAGCTCCACCCCTTCTGCTTTGCAGGGGGTGTTTTCCCTCTGTGTTTACTGCTGTCTGTTGTGTTTGAGACTTCTCTGCTGCTACCTTTTGAGCTTGAGATTCTTTCTTTCTGCTTTTTAACTCTTTAACTGGCACAGATAACGAGCGGGGTGAAGACCCCTAGACTGTATCACCAACTACAACACCCAGAAAACGATCCGTTGCACTGGCCTTGAGCAAAAACTCCCACCCACTTCCTCATCACTTAGCAGGATTGTTAGGAGTGGGGCACCAACTGAGCAGTAAACAAATTCCCTAAGCTTTTCTAGCCACACTCTAAACCCAAGCCTAGCGGATCTTTACAGAGCTTTGGTTGCTGCTACAAATCCAGGAAACTCTGAAATTCATCAGGAGAGAATGCTCAAAACACAAAATTCGTGGTGACTTCCACACCACTCTGCACCTGCCTGTGTCTGCACGGAAACCCGAGGTTGCCTCACCGAAACCAGCCCCGAATGCCATACTTATGGGTTCAAATTATACATGTGATTTCCAAAACTCTGTAGCCATTTTGTTCCACCTCAGTTTCATACTCTGTAAAATAGAATTAATCATCTGAGTTGGAAGGATTAGGTGAAATCGTCAGAAAGAGCTCAAGCTGCCACAGGCTTCGACCTGAAGAGGGCGGGGCTGGGGCATCGATCGCTCGGCGCTCCTCTAGGCTCTCGTCGCGATCAGCCGAGTCGGGAGTGATCGATGCTCCCTGGTGTAGTTCGTGTGAACCAGGCCAGCCGTGGAATCTTCGCCCTGTCGGAATCAGTCGTCGCCGGCGATAAGAAACAGGCCCATGCAAGCGTCAGACAGGTTAGTTGAAGCTCGGCAGAGCTCTGGCACCTAAGGCTCCTTAGACACGCTGCGTGGGTCGTGAAGGACGAATTGCGCAGGCGCCACACTAAAGCCCCAGAGCGGTCGAGCTGTGGGACGGCTTCGCGCAGGCGCCTTGGGAAGCTTGGGAGCCGCTCGAGTTGTAGCTGGCTGCTCGCACATCTAGTGGTGTCAAAAGCGCATGCGCAAAGTTGCTTCGCCCATCGTACTGCCATGAGTCTGCTCCGTTGTGCTTTTTCTCTTCGCACACACTTCTTCACTGTGTGGCTTTGGTTAATGTTTCAAGTGTGGAGACCGGCCGAGTGGCCAGATGGACCCACCCTACGTGCCTGCGCCGTCCTTCAGAGAAGTGTGCCTTTGGCCACTGCTAAAAAAGGGAGGTTTCCAACCTCCACCCTGGAGCCCGCCCAAACCGTCCTGGCCCCCGACAGCTGACCGAGTCTCGCTCGGCCGACCACAGACTTCCTGGGAGTCGGGGCGTCTTCTGCCTAGGCCACTTAGCCAGCCCTCCACACACACAGAAGGGCATGAGCAGCTGGGTTTTGCGGGTACTTTGAGAGAACGGCTGCACGTGCTTTCTTAGACGTTTGTTCACACTAAGGCCTCCAGCAACCCGCCTGGCCTGTGCTCTCACTGCAACCAAGACCAATTTTTGTAAGGTGCCCTAAAAAAAAAGAGCATCAGGCCTATATGTGGTTCCTTTGTCTTTAGTGTGAGCAGCAGGAAGCCTTAGCTCCTGCTAGGTTGGTTCCCTTACAAAGAACCACTCAGGTTAGATCCTGCATCCTTACTCAAAAAGGGTAGTTTTGTGCACTAACAAGCCTTTCTTTAAAATACCTTTTAGAATTAGGGCAACAGAGAAAAGTTGTTTTGTGCAGCCTGCAACCGACCTTTACCCGAAAGCGGTGCCTTGTCCTGACAAGTGGGCTTGGAGCACCTTGAAGGCCACTTTGCAAGCAAGGACACATGTTCATCAGACTGTACATTGAGAGCCTCTCCCACATTCAAAAGCAAAGCAAAAAGCCTCGTACGGCCAGCAAGACATTTTAAAGGCCTATTCCTGTTGTATTTTGGGAAGAGACTTGTAATGTGAGCATATGAGGCCACTGAGACTAGTAAATGTGGCCTGTGCTTCGGTAATTAAAGCTGTCATTTTTATCAGGAATAATCCCAGATTTTGTCTAGGCACTTAAATTTATAGCATCCTAGTTTAGATGGCAAATTCCATTGGTAGTCCTCCTATACCTGACTATTGAAAGGCTATCCAACTCAATAAACTTTTATAATGGTACTCTTGATAGTTAATTTAAAGACTTAAAGTTTAGGTGCTATGTGAAAACCTGGTTTATACACCATGTGGTTGATTCCCTCCTGTGGAGGGCCATTTGGTTAATACAGCCTTTTCTAAGAGGCAATTCAGTGAGAGGTTATAGGAAGCTAGTCCATACTTCCAGATCACAAGGTCACTCAGGCTGGTCCCACCTATCAGGGTTTGAACAAACACTAGATTGTGGACTTAAAGCCTGGGTTTGGGGCTATATAGAAAGGCAATCTAGAGAACATACACTGGGAGGCATGGTCAGGCTGCTGGCCACGTGAAGGCTGTTGCTTCTGGCCCACACAAGGCCAGCACCTCTGGAGATAGTCATAGAGCTTAGGAGCCCCACTATGAACAATTGCTGAATCCTGGAGCTCTTGTAAAAAAAGTTTGGGAAATTGGCCATAAAACCAAGGCCAAATGTGGCTTCACCTGGGGTATGTAGTATACCTATTAGTGACTAGAGTCACCAATAATGCATTAATGGCATGTTAAGGAAAGAAAAGTATTTTCCCTTTGAGTCATTTAGCCAAGATCGAGTCCAGATTTGAATTCTCAACACCATGCCCCTTGTGTATTCTGTCATCTGTCTTGTCTGTTGCATGAGTCTGAATCTGTGCCTGCCCGAAGGCTATCTTGTGAATATTTTTGGCCCTGTGTCTATGTGTTTAAGTGTGTCTGTCTATTTTGTGTGTAATTGTCTGTGTCTGTGTTGTATGACTGTCCCTCACAAGAGGTCTCACTCTGCATTGAACTAATGTGATTTCTGTTATTATTAAAACTTGGGGACAAATACTGAAGATAAAAACTGAGATAATTGCAAATGACAGCAACACACACAGCCACACCTAGACTCCACCTCATCCTTTTCTGAGGGTCTTTCTTCCTCTCCTTGAGGCCTTCAGGGAACTCCATGTTCCATTCCAAACAGCTGAATGTGAACCCTGCTTCTTAAACCAAATGCTCTATTCCATTGGACACCAGACCACAAATAGACAGAATTGCTATAACATTAAACAGCACCAAAAACATCTCATAGAGAAGGAATTGGGATACTTTAGGGGCATCTTTTAACAGAGTTTTACACTGTTAAGTCACTGACTGGCTCCAACTTACCCAAACAATGACCATCATTGTTTATCAGCTAATATCCATAAATGTTGCTTTCACCTTTTTTGGTAGATTTTAGAAATTTGTTTTCAACTTCTGTAATTGCTGCTTTTAGCAAATAACTCAATTGCATTGTCCGGTCCTGAGGCATGAAAGAATACATTACTTAAGATTACAGCGATGCATTAGCTTATGTTGTAAAAGTTAATTATTGGAAACCCAACACGAGTAACATTGATTGATACATCGTTCTCTTAAAGGCAGGTTAAACAAACAGTTTGAGTACACAGTAACATGGCAGTCTTGTCTTGAGTGACTTCAAGGTGTATTATTAACTTTAGCTGTGAGGTTTAGCTGTCTGAAGGCTGTTTTGTGGATCTGTTTGGCCCTGTGTCTGTGTGTTCTATGTGTCTATCTTGTGTGTAACTATCTGTGTCTGTGTTGTGTGACTGTCTGTCCCTCACAAGGGGCTTTACTCTGTATTGAATTACTGTGATTTCTTTAATTATAAAATAAAAACACGGGGGCAGATATTAAGGATAAAAACCTGAGATAATCACAAACAACTGCAACACACACAGCTACGGTTCACTTCCCGACTCAAAAAGGCCACACCACCCGCAGGTTCTGTCTCATCCTCTCCCAAAAGTTCTAGTCACTTAGAATACAAGAAATCTATAATGCCTGCTTTTAAAATGAGTCATTAAGTCATTTTGGATGGATGTCTGTTGCATAATACAATGGTGGAGGCTGTTTAAAGGGCCAGGTAGGTTCTGAGAAAGGCTGTGGAGGCAGCCATGAGACCACTCACTGTGGAATTTCCTCACACTGGGGACATAAGGCCCTGTGGGCAACTTGTATTTAATGTCAATCAGTAGACCTGTCAGAAGCCACTTCAGGTAGTCACCAAGTCACCCTGACAGCCACTATAGTACTGAAACTTACAACCTAACTGAAACCCCCACATCTGGAAGTTATGTTAAAACATTACTAAGGTGGGGCTCAGTGAGGGAACACACTTGCTGCCAGGATTGACAGCTTGAGCTTAACTCCCAGGACCCACATGATGGAGGGAGAAAACCAGTCCTGAAGCTATCCTCTGACCTCCACACATACACCATGATACAAGGTCACCATCACACGTGTGTATGCACATACACACAGATAAATAGGTGTCATTTAAATTACTTTTAATTACTAAGGCTAGCTCCTGTGGCTGAGAAAGGATGGTTTACTATAGCCAATGTGAGACCCTCTATAGAGTGCTCTTTCATGTCGTCTGCAACATGAGGCCCTTATCTTCAAGGCCATTGGAAGTAGCAGTGTATAAGTGTTAGTTATCTGAGGCAGCATCAAGACACACAAGGCAGAGAGAGCCCAGCATCTGACATCAATAGATGGGAATATTTATTTCAGGCAGTGAAGGACCCACACTCTTATGTGGGAAAAGGGGTGCTTCTAAGAAAAAAAGCTGATGGAACCCTTTATAGGGGCAGGGTGCTGGGCTTAGGGGTGAGGAAATTGTTGGCAACTGTAGGGACTACATATGGGTCTGAAGTCCCTATTTCCTGGAATTCTCTCTTTAAGCAAGACAGATTATCTTGGAAGACAGGCTGTCTCTGCCAACATTCCTACTGGGCTGTGATGACTGTTCTTGGTTATCAGCTCAACTACATCTGGAATTAATTCAACCAACCCCAAGTGACTGGGCCTTTGAAAGAAGTTCTTGCCATTAGCTAAACAAGCTGTGATGGTTTGAATAAGCTTGGCCCTCATAAGCTCATGTAGTTGAATGCTTAGGGAGTGGCATTAGGAGGTATAACCTTGTTGAAGTAGGTGTGGTCTTGTTGGAGGAAGTGTGTCACTGAGTATGGGCTTTGGGGTTTCAAATGCCACAGCCAGACCCAGGGCTTCCTGCTGCCTGCTGATCCCAATAAGGCCATACCTCCTAATTGCACTCCTTAAGCATTCAAATACATGAGGCTATGGGGGCCAGTCTTATTCAAACCACCACGATGGTCAGCTATCTCTCCAGCACCATGTGTGCCTTCTCACCACTGTACTTCCCACATGATGACAATGCACTCAGCCTCTGAAACAGTAAGCCATCCCCAACCTGTGGAGAAACCCAGAGCAAAGTTAGTATCTTAACAGCCATCTTTCCTACTACTCTCTTAGATACTAACACACTGGTAATTTCCCATTCCCCTATGACTATTTTCCTGTTAAGCATACGGTGCAGCCTGACCCAAAAAGAGTCCCAGAGGCAGGTTTATCGTACAGCAACTTATCTTATAACAGAACACCTGCATCCTGCTTGGAAGGACACTCTGCCTCCATCACATCCTCCCTTTGGCCCATTCCCTCATTTCTCCACTACTTAAACCCTGTGACTGTATTCATTAAACGAGACTTGATCGGAACACTGTCTTGTCTCCATCTCTCGAGTCTCTTGTCCCCTCATTCTCATTCCCTCCCTCAGGGTCCCCATCACTGACCCCTCAGGCCAGGGCACCAACTAAATGGGGTCTCTTCACAGCAATAAAAACTCTAAGACACCATCTGAGGCCAACATTTTATTTTCCCCAGTGTGAGGGCTGTTCTTGGTTGTCAACTTGACTACATCTGGAAGTAACAAAAACCCAAAAATGGAGGGTACATGTGTGAAAGATTTCTGCTTAATTTGAAGTGGGAAGATCTACTTGTAATCTGGATCTTTGAGATGGGAAGACATACCTTTAATCCAGATCTGATCTGGGCCACACCTTCTATGGGAAGCCTACAGAAGGACGTGAAATAAGGAAGGTTTTGCATCTGGGCTCAACTGGACAGGGATCTATGCCTTCCCCACACCCCCCAAACCCCAGGTTCTGTTGTCAGAATTCCATATGGGTGTGGGCAGCTACTGGACATGGAACCTCCTGCTCCTTGCTGTCTGTTAGTTATAGGCTCACTTCATCTCTTTGCCTGTGGCGTTTCCAACATGGTGTTATGATCCAACACATACTAGCTGATTGGTCAGTAGAGAGTCACTAAGGGAGCCAGATCCAAGCTCATTCGTCTGTCACTTCCCAGTACCGTTGGTTTATTTTTCTCTTGCTGCTAAGTAAGCTGCCATAAGCACTGGATGTAAACAGCAGGCTTGCGGATCTGTGGGCTGGGATCTGACCAGTCTTGCAGGGCTGAAATCAAGGGCTCAGCAGGGCTGCCTTCCTTTCTAAAAGCCCCAGGAAAGAATCAATTTCTTTGATTTTTCTCAGCTTCTGGAAGTTTCTCTGAATTCTTCTCAGCTTGTAGCCTATTCACTAGTCACCAGAGCCAGCCACTTCACCTTTCTTTGACCATTCTTTTGAAGTCACACTCCTTTCAACTCTGACTTGAGCCCAAAGCAATCCTTTTACTGTAACACATGAGTCCATCCAGATAATCCAGGATAATCTCCCACCTCAGGTCCCATTTTCAGTTACACCTGCAGAGTCCCTTTTGCCCTATTAGGTGTCATAATCACCATTCAAAGGTAGGATATGAACATCTGTAGGAGCTGTTACCTGTCCATCAGCGCAGACTAACTTGTAAGAAGTACCATGAGCAGTCTACTAACCAGCTAAGTGTGCTTATCTTTTGCTCAGGTCATTCCCACGTGGATCATCCAGGCTCAGGAGCCTTCCCACAATTCTCTTTTCCATGTGGTAGCTTCCTGCTACCTGGGATTTTTATTCCCTGGAGTCTGAGAGCACTCCACTTCCACCTTCTAGGGTACCTGTAGGAGGTGTGTATGACCAGACATCAGTTACTGCACATGTTCCTATAGCACGTGCTTCTGTCTCAGTAAATTACATGGAAAGCTTGTCTGACTGAGTCAAGAAGATAATGGTATCTTTTCTGCTTGTTGGCAGTAGCACAGGCCTTTAATCCCAGCACTTCTGAGGCACAGGCAGGTGGATCTTTTGAGTTCAGAGATGCGGCCAGCCTGGTCTACATAGTTCAACGGCAGCCAGGACTACACAGAGAGATCCTGTCTCAAAAGAGGAGGGCATCTTTTCATTCTTTTCTTTTGCCCCATGCCAGGAATGAAACCCACAGGTAAAACTCTAGTACACAAAAAAAAAAAAAAAAAAAAAAAAAACAGGAGTTGCCAGACTACATTTGGTACCCTATACTTTTTTATAAATAAAGCTTTATTGGAACAGAGCCACCCCTGTTTGTTTATTCTGGTTTGTGAAAGGCAAAGTAGTGGGAACTGTGACTGTGTGGACAACAAGCTTAATGTTTCATATTTGCCCATCTACATTCTCTGCCAAAAACATGCTGGTCTTCCTCACTCAACATCATGGGAGGCAGAGGATGCCCTGCTCTATCTAAGGTTGTTGTAGCAGACTGTCTGGCGGTTCCGTTCTCTCCAGTCTCTCCATCTTGACTCCTCCTTACTACTTCCTCTTTCCTCTTTGTCTCCTAGTCCCTCCTATCTTCCTTTCCTATCGGCCAACAGTGTTTTATTCATTAACCAGTATGAGAAACATATATACATAATGGCATCTCCTATCAAGGGTGATAACAACCACCCTTGTAGGAACTAGCCCACTCTTGTAAGATGGGTATTGATCCCTTACAACAGTGATGTCCTTGATCTAATCACCTCCATCTGGGCCCCATCTCACAAATGTCCCCTGCTGAGGACCAGACTCCAAGCCCATGAAAGTTTCGGGATAAATCACATCTAACCCACAGCAGATGACACAGCTGTTAGGACAGTGCGGAGAACATAGAGCAGCACAGATAGCAATGGTTGTCTGTGAGCTGCAGGTCCTGTTAGTGATAGTTGTCATGCCCATATGACACTCAGGCTAAGCCACCACACTCCAGTGCTGAGCATTTTCTTTCTGCTTAGGTTTCTATGTTTGTTAGCTTTCCTTTTCTGTAACAAATATCCGAGATAACTTAAAAAGAAAATTTATATTGGCTCATGATTTTAGAGGTCTCAGTTCAGGGCTGCGTGGCCCTGTTGCTTTGGTCCTGTGGCAACTCCATCCATCAGTGTGGGACTATGAGGCAGAGGATGCCTGTTCACGTTATGATGACAGAGAAACAAGGCTAGTGTCTTATTGTGTTCACAGGCATGTCACCATGACTCTTAAAAGGCTACACCATTCCCAGTACCATGACAGTCTGGGGACCACTTCAACGTCAACACACAGGCCTTTGGGGACACTTAAACGGAGCACTTCCTTCTGCACCATACTGAGACTTATCTTAGGCTCTAGGGAAACCAAGATGGGATGTGCCACAGCCCAGCCTTGGAGAGGCACACCACACTAACATGCCCGTGGATGTACTTTGTGACAAATGCCAGGCATTGTTCAGGTCCCTGAAAATAGAGCAGAGACCCCAAAAGATGGCCCTGTACCAGTGGAGCAGCCAGCAGCAAAGGCCCTGTTGAAAAGCACTGTTATGAGCTTCAGGGGTTGGGTGTGGTCTCTGATTCCTGTCTTCTTCCTCTCAGGTGCTGATCATGTCAGAGGATCCTAGGGGTCCTACAGAGCCCCTGGTGGGGTCCAACACCCTCTGGAAGGACCTCAGGGTACTCCTGCCTGATACAGAGGAAGAGCTGAACTTGGAGCTCAGTGAGAAGGTGGACAGGAGCATGACTATGCTGCTACAGCAGGCTGTGGGGCTATTCTATGCAGGACACTGGCAGGAGTGCCTGCAGGCCAGCGAGGCCATCCTGGACTTCTCCTGGGAGAAGCTCAACACTGGGCCCTGGCAAGATGTGGACAAGGAATGGCGCCGTGTATACTCCTTCGGCTGCCTGCTGAAGGCCCTGTGCCTGTGCCAGGCACCACAGAAGGCCACTACAGTGGCTGAAGCACTGCGGGTGTGTGACATGGGCCTATTGATGGGGGCAGCAATACTTGGAGACATCCTTCTCAAACTCGTCACAGTCCTCCAGTCACACCTACTCCCAGGAAAGCAGCTTGCCTGTGGCCCCCACCAGGATCAGCCTGCCACCAAGGTATGGGTAGTAAGTCATTACCAGCAGTCCAACCCATCTTCTAGAAGAATCTACTCCTCTCCCTGGGTACAGCCTCACACAGGCAGCCTCTCTGCTGAAAAAAAGCATTGTGTTGATTTGGGGAGTGAGCAGCTAGACCCTAAGTCTGCAAAGGCAGGGCCTTTTAAGAGGGGGAGGTGGCAGCTTCATTAATCTATGAGAGGCAGCTCACCAGAACTAGGCAAAGCCAGCCTTCTGCAGATCACTTCCAGGCAGCTCTGAAGGAAATCCAACATGCCTTCTTACCACCTAGTCTGGGCAAGATACTTCAGCCAGAAGACTGAGGTTCAGGAGGCCACTGTGTTCTGTCCCTCCAGTCGTCATGGAGGTTGGCCTGGTATTTAAGTGTCCCAGAGTTCCTTCCAAACCTGGAGCACAGCTTACACCCAGACTTCACCCAGTTTCTTCTGGATGAGCCAGAAACTATCTACTCTGGGCCTCAGTGTCCTCTTCCATAGATTGTCACATGGTCCTGAGCCCCAAAGAGGAAAGGCCAGGGCTGTGTTGGATACTAGCCATGGAATTCGGTACTGTTTCTCACGTATTTCTCAGTGCTTTCCTGCAGTCTTAGAATGTCCTGTTGGGTGTGATTTATGTATAAAAAGATGTGATGGATGTCATTAGCATATGAGTGTGACCACAGTGGAAAAGAGATCCATCCACAAGCCAGGAACTGGGGTATGGTTGAACCTTTCACCTCAAGAGTTGGAGGGGTCAGTAGGGAAAAGCTAAAGCCTGGACAGCCAACCACTGGCCTCTGTTTACCAAATGAAGAGAAGCTAAGCGCACATCCATAATCTGAGAATCTGGGAGGCAGAGGCACAGGATGGAGAGTTTGAGGCTAGCCAGATCTACAGTGAGAAAAACAAACATCAAGTGAATAAATAATAATAACGATAAGTTACAAATTGAGAAGCAGCCTCAGGGACTGCCAGCAGCCATGATGCACAGTGTCATTTGTGGGCCCATGACAGTCTACAATTCAAGACAAATGTGTCCCCTTTGGCCTAGGGCACACACTCCCATCTTCCCACCAAGGGTGTCCCAAGGAGATATTGTGGGGGACTCCTGCTCAAAGTGTTCCTCTTCTGTTGCTAGAGGACAGAGGAGGCTTCTGTGAGGGACTGTTACAAGCAAGGCCTATGCTGGATGCGGCAACAGTACAAAGGAAGCAGGGCCAGTTCAGCCTCGCTAGTGGTCCTGGGTACCGCATGTGGATGCTATTGTCATCATCAGTTTACAGATGAGGAAATGGAGGCCCAGGAGTGGTAAGTGACCACTCAGCTTACCTGAGGGAAATGGCTAAGGAAAGTATGGTGCAGCCACTGGGTGGCAGTGTGGAAACTCCTAGGATAGTGCTTAGATGCAAAGCAGAGCTACTTCCTCATCAAGACTACTGTTGCCAGCAGTGCTCCAAGATTATGAGATGCAAAGAAAAAAGGGATCTTGAGCTGGTGAAAACAAATAGTATGGAAATTTTGTCTACTACTGAGTGTGGTAGGCACTCTGGGATTTGAGGCAAGGGAATTCTGGGCTTCCTAGTGAAACTGTCTCAAAAAACACAAAACAGCTCAGAGTAATAGTGAACACCTTTACCCCATGCACTTGGGAGGCAGAGGCAGGTAATGTAATGTCTGTGGGTGTGAAGACTGCCAGGGCTACATTTTGAGACCCTGTCTCAAAAATAAAACAAAACATGGGACTGGGGAGATAGTTCAGTCAAGAGCTTACCACACATGTAGGAACACTAGAGTCTGATCCCTAGGGCCACATAAAAACTTGGCATGATGGCATGTTCTTGTCCTTCCAGAGCTGGGGAGGTAGAGACAGCTGGATCCCAAGGGCTTGCAAGCCAGCCAGCCTAGCTGAATCAGTGAGCCCCAGGCCACTGAAAACCCCATCTCAGTAAGGTAGACAGACAGTGCGTGAGAAAGAGCAACAGCTGAGGTTGCCCTCTGCCACACACATGTGCACACACAAACACTCACAGATCAAAACAAAAAAGAAATGCTACTTGCTGATACAGGTTCCAGAGACAGCTGCCCTCTTACTTTGTTTGGATTCTAAACAGAAGGCGAGGTGTGACTCTAACTCAGCGCCCGGTGTGGTGGTAGAGCGGGCAGTACCCAGGCTTCGCTGCCCAACCCTGCAGTACTTCAGGAAGCACTTTCTAGTCCCTGGGAGGCCTGTGATCCTGGAAGGTGTGGCTGACCACTGGCCGTGCATGAAGAAGTGGAGGTGAGTAGGCACTGTGGGGAACGGAGGCCCTGCCTCCTATCAAAATGTCCCCAGGGCTCCCTCAAGGCCTCTTCTGGCCACTCATAAGTGACTGCCCCAGACCACTCTTCAAAAGCCCCTGGATTGATTGCAGAGGATTAATGAAGACTTTAATTTAAAGTAGGATATTGTGGGGCTGATAAGATGGCTGCAAAAGCCTAGTGGCCTGAATTCAAGCCCTGGGACATACACAGGTAGAAGGAGAGAACCACAAAGTTGTCTTCAGACTTTCTTCCACACATGACACAGTGGCATGCATGCCTCCCAGCACATGGAATAATGAAGTTTTCAAAATTAACTAAAAATGTGAGGTATCCTGAGTTCTGCAAGGTCTAAGCTGCTCACTGACATGTGTTTACCCTGAGCAAACCCTTAAGAATGCCTGAATAGCAGGCTCAGCAATGTTAGGTGTTAGTGCCAGATCTCGGAAGTCCCACAGGCCCTCCTTCTCAGAGCTGGAATCACCCAAGAGATGGCTCCTCCTGGGATTCAGACTGTCTGGATACCTAAGATCTGCTGCCTGAGAGAGGTATGAGGCTGCAGCTGAGGGGGTACATTTGCCTCCTTCCCTGTTCACTGTTCTTGTCATCACTATAAATCAGAAACACAGTGGGGGCTGTGAGTGAGCATGTGGGCTGCCTGGGCACACCCTTGTTTTCTCTTGTTATTCCCTAGCTCCCCAGTGGAACAGCTCTTTCTATGGCCTTGGAATTGCAGTGGGTAGCCTAAGTAGTCATGAGATGACTTCAGACACTGGGGAGCTTAGTTCCTTCACACACTGCTGTTCTATAAGGACTGGAGAATCCTGATTACAGCATCCACAGTGGGTGTATAAGCGGTACCACGGGCACTCTGCAAGACAACTGTAGCTCAGGGGAGTAGGTTGAGTTGAGTCGGCCTGTTGTGAGTGTGCGAAGTGGCCCCTAAGAATGAAGTAAAGAAAAATCCTGTAGAAGCCACAGCATAGCAGCCATGCTCCAAATGAGGCAGATGAGGATCGAGGACTCAGGAAGGCTTACTCATGAAAGGATCCCCACCCCACCCATCCCGGGCTCAGAGTTCAGAGCTAGCACTTCACACTCAGGCACCCATACCACCTTCAGTTTGTCCCGAGATGTCTCAGCTCGTTGACAGGGTAAATGAAGAGTTAGCAGAGGTGGTCAGCTTACAGTGTGTGTGACTGAGGTTGAACCTTGAGTGTTGGGCATGGTGTAGATAACTATCTAGATCCACATGCAAAGCCACATCCACTGTGTGGTCTTGGGCAAGTGTCGTCACCTCTCTTTGGTGGGACCTATGTCGGGAGAGTGAAGGCAACAGCACTCTCCACCCCCTGAGGTTTTGTGAGGATGAGAGAACCAAAGAAACCCATTCCTGGATGACAGGGTGAGCAGCAGTGATGCAGGCTGACAGCTGTGGTGACGGTGTCAATGCCTACTCTTGTAGTCTACAGTACATCCAGGAGATTGCTGGCTGCCGCACTGTCCCTGTGGAAGTGGGTTCAAGGTACACAGATGAAGACTGGTCCCAGACCCTCATGACCGTCAATGAGTTCATCCACAAATACATCCTGAGCAAGGTATATGGGAGTTAATATTTAACAGATGGACAGTGTGACTGAACTTAAAGGCAAAATTTATGTTATGTACACCCCACCATGATTTTTAAAACAACTTCTGATGAAAAGCAGCAGCCCTGGGCTATGCACCACACCTACATTATTTACTCAAGGGAGAAGCTGCAGAGGCTGGCAGCTCATTCAGACAAGGCAGAGCTGCACCCCAGGCCCTAAGTCTCCTCCCTTGGAGGCCATTGATCACATTAGGTCCTAGGTTGGGGAAGGGGACCACTCTGGACAGTGGTGGGTGGAGCCAGGGCAAGGGCTTAGCAACCAACTAAGCAATAGAGCCACCAAGAGGTACCCAACACAAACTAACCGATGGTCACCTCTGCTTTCCTCCTCTGGTTTAGGCAAAGGACATTGGGTACCTCGCTCAGCACCAGCTATTCGACCAGGTAAGTCTGAGACCATGTTCCTGTCCTGCATCCCTCACCTGCTCCTCTCCCAGGGAGCATACATGACTATCTTCTGGTGTGAGGGGTCTCCCTCATTAGCATGGGCGGCAGAGCACTGAGGCAAGTTGAAGTGCCAGGCTTGAGAAATTATGTGCTGAGTCTGGGCCAGGTTTGAATCCCCAGGTTGAGCTGCCAATGACTGAAGGTGGAACTTGGCTGAGCTGGAGTGGGAACAGGTAGGATATTCCCATTGAGAAGCACCCCAGCACCAAAGCATGCTGAGTACAGAGGCCACCAGCCAGTAGGTCATTCACCAGAGCCAGAGAGCCAGGGGGTAGAGGTCCTGAAGGCCAGACCAGGACTCTGGATTTAATCTGGACATGGTGGAGTCCTGGGAGGCCCCTGATGAGCAAGGAGGCTCCCTGGAGATCCTGAGCACTGTGATAGACAGTGCATGTTTCTGCAGGGATCAGACCCTTAAGAGTAGATCAATAGGTCCACCCCTCCTGAAGTAGCCCCCTGCCACCCAGCACTGGCAGCTCAGGTTCCTCTAGAAAGCAGGATCAGGGTTAGCCAGTGCCTGGCCACAGCAGATGTACCTCCACAGACCTATGGAGAGAGGGCAGAGAGCTGCCTGATTGGGGGTAAAGTAAGAAAATCAGGATATACACTTGTCTAAGTGCTGTGTAACAAATAGTATAGGCAGGATAAGTTGTAACAATAGTTTATCTAGTTCTGGAGTCTGGGAAGGTCAAAGGACCACAGTTGATGAGTGCTATCTAGCATATCAATGGCTTAACAAAGGATGGCATGTGACAAGAGAATAGGCAGGGTGGGACCTACTTGGTTTTATAGCAATCCTGTACCTGTGATACACACAGTAACAGCATCGGTCTCAGCATCCATCTGTCCATGAGGCACAGCCCTCGTGACTAAATCACTTCTTAGTTTTCAGCCATAATTTAACTTTAACAGAGCACACAGAAACCAGAAGCCAGTGGGTTTTCCTCTCCTGCCTGAAGCTCCCACATCATCTTCATGTATGGCCATCACTGTGGGAAAACAGATTCTGTTTGCACCAGCAGCGAGGCTTCCCTTCCATTTAGGGTGCAACAAGAGGTTCTTAAGTTCAAGGCCAGCCTGAGCTGCGTAGGGAATCCTTCCAAGCTATCTGGTTATCCTTTTTATTCAGTGTGGTGATTCAGCCTATAGCATAGCACTACCCACATTCAAGGTGGATCCTTCCAACTTAATTAAAGCTCTCTGGAAACACCCTCCCACACATACTCAGAGGTGTCTAACTCTAAACCCAAGGCTGTAAGGCAAAGCTGCCCTTTAAGGTGAGTCAGAACTGTGTGCGGCTGCTTCAGCCAGATCTTGCTGTTTAGCTCTGGCCCTCAGCTCCCCAGTTTTTCTCTGCTGCTCAGACAACCTCAAAGAGGAGTTTGAGCAGCCAGGCATTCTGGGGACAGGGCACAGGCTGTTTTTCTAGGACCTCTGTGTCTACAGGAAGCTTAAGCTATTGACAAGTCTTAGAAGCCTCTGACCACTGCCTTGGGCTTGCCAACAGTCACATTTGCAGAGTATATATCCTCTGAGGATTTCTGAATCCTTGGCCAGTAATTTTGATGAGATCCAGCCAACCAATCACTCTTCAGAAATCCTGATGACATCATCAGGAACCAACCAGAGTTATGTTCAGCATGCTGTGGCAAGGCCTGGTGCTTTGCACTAATGTGGTATGCTAGGAACCTGGGGTTCTAGCCATGTTGGAGACTGTGAGACTCTTCAAGGACTCCCTGCAACACTAGGTCCTCCAATGCCCAGGCTATCAGGCAGCAATTCTTACACTGGCCACAGGAGATAGTGAAGTAGCTGGTACAACCTCTCTGCTAGAACATTCTGGCTTCCCAGCTGGGTTGGAAATGGCCTTGGGCTTTCTGACCTGCAAGAGGCTGTAGTAAGGTCAATGAAAGAATGTCAAGGAAGACTTGCTCTCCGAAAGGCTCTTGAGTTTCATCTGTTCCCATTCATTTCAAGGTTGAAATGTGCCCACAAGACCTGCGGCATCATGCTGCCTGGTGCTAAGGGCTAAGCCTGCACCCTTGGGCAAAGAGTTGCAAAGGGCCCACTAGGGGTAGAGGCTTCCCAAAAAGTAGCTTCTTCATGCCAAGGCCACAGCTCACACTGAACCTGACAGTGGCATTATTCCCTGGCAGAAGCTGTCCCCAAAGCTTTGTGTATCACCACATTGTGCACCTCTCAGACATGTCTCATTAGGGGTTTCTTTGCCCAGGCTTATCCTGCCAGGGAACAAGTTCATGGTAGCACAGACCTGGGTTGTGAAAGCCAGAAGCCAAGAAAAATCCATACCACCATTACAGATGTCCCCTCCAGGGAGATGAGAATGTAAACTGTTGAAAGACAGTGTAGGAGGCTGCGGAGGGAAGTAGGGGCAGAAGCAAAGGGGCATCATAGAGGCATTTCCCAATGCCACCTGGTGGTAGGGTACTCACTGCTACTCCACAGCCTCTGTGAGAAGTCACTTACCACAAAGGAACCCAGTGCATGCCCCCTTCCAGTGGCTCAGCCCATGGTGCTCTAGAAGGTTTGTACTGGTTACCAGGTCACTGTCAGGCGCAAGGTTCAGCAGCCTGTCATAACCCATTGCATCAGGCCATCTTCAGCTTTTGCTAATGTCATTAGTGGGAAATGTTGAGTGCTGCAGAGTCAATTCTGTTCACTTGCTAAGACCTAAACCCTCCCTCACCACTGATAGGCTTCTGAGTGCCTGCCTTGGTCCCCTAGTGGCTGGGAAATGTTCTTGGTTCTAAAGCCCCCTTTTCTGGCCTCTGAACACTGTTTACTAACTCTTACCTTGCTAGTCTTTGTAGTAATTCATTTAAAATACACCAGTTGTGATTTCTTCACAGGTAGTAATTTTTTGAAAATCATCCCCTCCAGAGATCTGATAAATATCCAGTGCACTTGACTTTTGGGGATTGTTTTTTGTTTTTGAAACAAAGTTTTACTATGTCACACATGCTAACCTCCAACTTGTCATGCTTCTGCCTCAGCCTTCCAAATGCTGGAATTACAGCTGTGCACAAACAAGCACCACACCTGTGGTTTTATTATATATACTTTTTAACACTTGACTGGTGTGGTAACTCATGCCTTTAATGCCAGGAAAAGCAGGTGGAGTTCTGTGAGTTTGAGGACATTCTAATCTACATTGTGAGTTCCAGACCAGCCAGGGCTTTAAAATGAGCCTATTTCAAAAAAAAAAAAAAAAAAAAAAAAAAAAAAAAAAAAAACAACATTATTTTTAGTAAATGGCAGGATGCTTTTGTGGGGGAGGTGGGATAAAGAAGCAATACCAGGTTTCTAAAAAGAAAAAAAAAATCTATGTGATAAAAACAAATATAAAGCAAGATTATAATTCTTATCTTTTATTTATATCTTAAAATTTTATTCATTAGGATATGAACCTAAGCTGGGTAGGATGGCACATACCTGCGATACCTGTACTTGGGAGGCTGAGGGAAGAGGATGAGGGAGATACAGAACTGTCTCAAAAACAAATCAATGAATCAGGGAGTGTATTTGGCTCTGTCAGGTAAGGTAGTCAGACATCAGCTGGGTCCTGGCTGGCATACCTAGCCCTGGCTTCTGCTTTCTGCCACTACCCTCAGATCCCAGAGTTGAAGCAGGACATCAGCATCCCTGATTACTGTTGCCTGGGTGATGGGGAAGAGGAAGAAATCACTATCAATGCCTGGTTTGGTCCCCAAGGAACCATCTCCCCACTGCATCATGACCCCCAGCAGAACTTCCTGGTACAGGTAGGAGTTGCTGCCAGACAGGGGCTGAGTAAGGAGTTTGTTGTGGTAAATACCCATAATTCCAGCACTTGGGAGGTTCAAGGCCATCATCAGCCACCTAACCAGTTCAAGGTCAATCTGAGCTACATGAGACCTAGTATTGGAGTGGGGGGGGGGGTGTTAGTAAAAGGGATGTAGACAGGACAGAAACATAAAAAATAGTTCTGGGGTAGGGCTTCTCCAAGGTCAAGGCTACACCCAAGTGGATTTCTCTGGGGCCAGATAGGAAAGCTCTCGGGAGGAGGGCCTAGCACATTCTGGGAGCCCCATGCCCTCTATCACCTGCCAGCCACCCTCACTCTCACTGCTAGCTTGCACCTATGGATAGGGCCAAGGGAACAGGTCTGTCAGCCATGGCTAGATGTTCCCAGAGACTCAGCCAAAGGTTGTCCCAAGGGAAGCAGTACACACCCTCTGCTGTGAGAACTTGTCACAAACTGAGGTGCTAAAAAGACTTAATGAGAGCATTCCTGCAGAGCATTGGGCCAGCCCTGCAAAGCAGCTCAGTAGCAGCTAAGAGCCAGGGCCCAGGAGCCCACCGCCTGGCATGCCCACCAGCTGTCACCTTAGTAAACTTGGCAACATTTTGCCTCTTTGCTTCAATTTCCTCACAACTGAGGTGAAGAGGAAACCTGAAATTAAGCCAGGTCCACACTCAGTGCTTGAGCTTAGCTACATGCAGAACTATAAGGCACCTGAGGTGAGCACTCTCAGAATGTCAGAGCATGTGGGACAGGGCACCAGGACACAAACCACCAGAAAGGCCTGGAAGAAACAGGCCCACAAGCCTATAGTCAGTGGGACAGCCTTGCTGTCCTGAAGCTGATGGGTCTCTTCTCTCCCAGGTGTTAGGAAGGAAGTATATCCGGCTGTATTCCCCACAAGAGTCTGAGGCAGTGTACCCTCACGAGACGCACCTTCTTCATAACACCAGCCAGGTGGGCATACGGGGGATCAGAGACATGGAGCCTGCTGTCTCTAGAGACCAGCAGATGACATTCTTGCTTTTTGCAGGTTGATGTGGAGAACCCTGACCTAGACAAGTTCCCCAAGTTCTCTGAGGCCCCATTCCTGTCCTGCGTCCTGTCCCCAGGAGAGACCCTCTTTATACCTGCTAAGTATTGGCATTACGTGCGCTCCTTGGACCTGAGCTTCTCAGTCAGCTTCTGGTGGTCATAGCCAGGGCCAGAATGCAAAGGACCTACCGGGCAGACACCTCACCCAGAGGCAGTGAGCCTAGAGGAAGCAGAGGCCCTGGATGCTGCTAGATTCCAACAGTCCTGCTCCCCCAGCCACTCTCTGTAAGACTCATGTGGGGCATGAGCTGCTGTGTATTCCTAGGCCATCTATATTATAGATGCTTCATTTCTTTTCTTTGTAACTTAAATTTTTTTCCATAACATAAATAAAAATATTTTCTGAATGTAAAAAAACTGTTTCTCCAACCCAATTCCCGTGCCGACCAAAGAGGCATTGGGAAGGGAGGGTAGCGAGTATGGGCCCTAGAAGAGAGACACCCCTGTCCATCCATGGACTCTTTAGTGGCAAGTACTGAAAGGAGCCACATATGTCACATAAAGGATGCTGGCCCAGAGAAACAGAGACCAGAGCAGGACAATGAAAGGGTGGACAGACAGGAGCTGGTTAAGGTCAAAGGGCCTGCACAGTGGGTGGAGACTCTGGAGCCTTGGGAGGATGGCAGATAACTGAAGGTGTTTAGAATGTGCAGGCCCAGCTCTGGATGGGCTAGACTAGCCTAGCTTGTTGGTGATAAAACCCATCCTGGCCAGGTATGGTGGTACAGGCCTTTAATCCCGTAACTCAGAGGAGGCAGAGGCAGGCAGATCTCTGTGAGTTCGAGGCCAGCCTGGTCTACAGAGGGAGTTCCAGGATAGCCAGGGCTACACAGAGCAACCCTGTCTCAAAAAAACAAACAAAAAAATTCTGAACTAGTTTAGGTAAAACATGTGGGTTCCTACAGCACTCTTGGGTGGCTCAAAACAGGTCTAGACTCAAGGCCACTGTTCCCTACTTCCCCTCCTCCACTGCTCTGGTCTCCACTTGATTTCACTGTTTTTGCTCTTCTGGAAGTGGAAGAAGGGGGGAAGCTCTGACTTCATCTCCCTCCCCACATCCTGACCCCAATGTCAATTGCTGGTCCTTTCTGTTCAAACCAAGGATCACCAGTAAGGATGCTGGTGGCTAGGCCTGGGGCAATCCTTGTGGCCTAATGATTGACAGGCCTAGTTCATCACACCCCATATCATAAGGTGACCAGGCCAAAGAATGTGAGCTTGGCCACACAGGGTCTGAGAGTCTAGACCATCAAAGTATGCCTTTTTAGACAGCTAGCTTTGGCAGGGAGGATGTACAGCAGGCTGAGGCTGCCCCCAGGGAGTAAGCAACCAGAGGCCTTAGAGGTTGTCATCCTGTCTGGCACTAGTAACAGTAATCTCACCTGACCAATTACTGCAACAGCTGTGCTGTACAGAGTACTAAGGCATAGAGTAGGAAAAGCCAGTATTCCAGGTCTTGTAGCCTAATGAAGAGCCACACCTCCCCTGGGGCTCAGGCACTGGCACTCCTCACTAGATGTGCATCAGCTGTATTGACTCCACCTTCACACAGTGGCCTGGCCCTTACAGTACACCCTATGACAACCAACCGGTAGATTCAATACTATCCTGGGCCAAGGCTGAGCAGGTGCCATCACCAGGTGGGAAGCAGGGAAGATGGAAGGTTGCTGGAACCTGCCTGCAGGCCTGCCTTCTCACTGGGAAATGAGGGAGGGCTCTCAAGCTGGCTTGGAAACAGCACCAATAGGCCCCTCACAGCCAAGAAAAGAGCAAGCGTGAAGATCCACCAGCCCATCATTCACACAGCACACTGGATCTGCTCCACACCACACACCATGGTCCTGGGCCAGGCACTGGAGACATGGTACTCAGCTATGTGAGCTTCTTGTCCTGGTGTTGAACACACCATGGAGGAGGGATCGGCAAGACCAAAATAGGATAAAATGGAACCAAGCTAAGTATAACAGGGTGACAAGATAGGAAAGGGCAACAAAGAGGGATGGCGGGACGTGTTTGGGTGGCTGACAATATAAGGTAAAGCGATGAGGGGCAGAACAGGACTTCAGAGTCCCAACAGCAGGGACAGCAGCTCTACTCTTGTTGGGTTTTTTGTTTGTTCTGTTGTCACCTTGACACAAGCTAGTCATGGGAAGAGGAATCTCGGTTGAGAAAATGTCTGTCAGACTGCCCTGCAGGAAGTCCGTAGGGCATACTCCTGATTAATGACTGCTATGTGAGGGCTCAGCCCATAGAGAACAGTGTCACCCCTGGGCAGGTGGTCCTGGGCTCTATATGAGAGCAGGTTGAGTAGGCCAAGAGAATAAGCCTACAGTAAGCAGCATCCCATGGCCTCTGCCTCAGTTCCTGCCTCCAATTCTCCCCTACCCTGAGTTCCTACCCTTCGTGTTAGACTGAAAGCTAGAAGGAGAAAGTCTTTCCTCCCAAGTTCCTTTTGGTCATGGTATTTATCATAGCAATTGCAGTAAACTAGGACAAGCCCCAAGAGGGACAACCAGGCCTGGGAAAGAGAAAGGAAGAACACAGCTGGCGCAGCATCATCGCTGGGAGTGGGATAAAGCCACAGTATAGACGAAGACCGGGAAGCGGAAAGACTGGGAGCCGGGAAAAGCAGGAGGGGCCTGGTCTAGTCAGTGATCACCACCCAGTGGCACCAGTGGGACCAGAGGTCAGTGGCAGAGAGGGCAGGGCAGACTGCAAAGGCCTAGATGAGCAACAAACTAGGATCTGGGATTGTGAAGGCCTTGTGTGGGGAGTATCAGTTCCTTTGAGATGCTTACACAACTGGTTGCTACCATGGTAAAATACCAGAGACAGGGAGCTAGGTAGCAAGAGAGCTGCTATCTCCAGAACTCCTTGCTCACCCTCAGGAATGGCCTGAACTGTAACACTGAAACATGGGACAGGAAGGCAGCTGACCATCCCAAAGCATGGAGTGGAAAGCCACTTTACCCAGTGCAGTCCTGAGGGTATGACAACAGGGACTGCCCCTAAACTACACCATGAAGACTCTGAAGGTGCAGGGCATCCTGAAACTAGGGACTCAAGCTCCCCACCCAAAGGCCCTATCTCCAAGCTCTGGCTTTTCTAGATGGGTTCTGCTTTCTTGCCAGAGTTCAGCAGAGGTAAAAAGTGGGGTGACCTGTGACATCACTGGATCCACCACCCTAGCCCCTCCAGAAGGAACCTGTGGCCATCCTTCCTCATTTGGACCAGTATGGATTCTGACATGTTGGGGCAGAATAGAAGCAGGCAGGGAACCACAGTGTGGCAAGAGTTGATCAAGGAAGGACCTTGTGGTGGTGAGCCCAGAGACCAAAGGGGAGGGGTTGAGGAAGGAAGGAAGGCCTAGGTGAGGAGGTGAGAACCATCACTGTGAGTCCTAATTCAACCCAACCATCTGTAATCAGCAGGGTGTGGCATGTCCAAGGAGGATGGAATCAGGGGCAGAGCAGGGGCTGAGGATGAGGGGTGTACTCTGGTTTGGACAGCCAGTTGTTGGGGCTAACAGCAAGGGCTGGAGAGGATCTGAGGGCAGTGTGGTGTAGATGCAAGGGCTGGAGAGGATCTGAGGGCAGTGTGATATAGGCGCAAGGGCTGGAGAGGATCTGAGGGCAGTGTGGTATAGGCGCAAGGGCTGGAGAGGATCTGAGGGCAGTGTGGTGTAGGTGCAAGGGCTGGAGAGGATTTGAGGGCAGTGTGGTGTAGGTGCAAGGGCTGGAGAGGATTTCAGGAAAACAAGAGCTTGATGCCAGGGACAAGGAGGCTTGACTGACTCTCAGGCTACTTGCCGAAATAACTGGTGGGTAGATGGGGAACAAAAAGCCCCATGGGAAAGCACAAATCTAGCCCAGCCCAGCCTTCAGGGGGCTACTGTACTTGGGGCCACAGTAAGGTCGTACTGTAGCTGTGGAAACCTAGGCCAAGTTAATGGAGCAAAACCGCAACAATAACAAAACCACCCTGAACCAGACACAGAGGCCCTGCCCAGGGCTGACAGTGGCTCAGATCCAGGACTGCCGCTGAGTTCACCCACCTCACCATGGGGAACCCAGCCCCACATAAGCTCTAGTTTGCAGAACATAGCAACCATCAGAAAACATTTACTAAAAATGTGTTAAGAGCAAATATCAACAAGGGAGGCAGTTCATGTGCCATGTGGATGGCCAGGTCTCTGGTCTAAATGGGCTGTGAGGGTCAGCCCACCAACAGCTGGAACCATACAGGATGCAGCTAGTGCTGACGGGTCCGCAAGGACTTTCTGCTCGACTTGGAGATGCCAGCCTCCCTGTCCTTCTCAGGGTCGAAGACTTCTGTGTATAGAACAGCAAGGAGACACAGTGAGCAGCATGATGAACAGACTGATCACACAACACAGCTGATGTCTATAGCTAGCCCCCATGAAGAGGACCTGTCCTGACTGTAACACTCATTGTTAACCCTCCTCCCCCAGCACGTGAGCCAGGCAGCAAAGCTCACTGAGGGAGCTGGGAAGTGGCTTTCCCATCCCTGTCTCTGGATGGCTAGGAGGAAGGAAGGCCTTGTTTGGGACTCTCACAAGCCTTGAGGTTTCTAGTGCATTCTAGAGCCCTTTAGAACAAGGCAGGCAGGCAGCTTTCACCTCTGCTTCATCAAGGTCACCAACACTGGTCTTCATGCTCAGAGTCCTTCTCAGCCCGCCCTCCAAGGGTGCTCTTGATGCCCAGCCTAAGAGCTGAGGTTCACAGACAGCCTGTTACAAGGCCACCCCATCCCACGGGCACTCCAGAGGCCATGTACCTGGTATGTCATGGGGCCAGAAGTCATTACAGTGGGGACAGCGTGGTTCAGAGGTAGACTGGAAGTACTTGGCCACGCAAGGCAAATGCATCCTAATACCACATGTCTCACAGCTTTGACCCTGAAACAAGAAAGGCTGATGACCATGGAGCCAGAACATCCCTCAACTTCACAAACATCCAGAAAGCTGCAGGGTTGTAGGGTCCAAACTTCCAAACTCCAACTTAATGTTAGTAATAACCCAAGCCCTACTGCAGATCCGTACTACACAATTTTGAACAAGTGAACATAGGTGGGAGAAGCCGAAAACCACACTCCCCACCAAGCCTCTGTAGCTCCAGACTCAGGCTCACTACTCAGAGATTCTCCCCAGTGGGAGGCATAGACCTAGAGCTTTTCAGTAAGCCCAGTGGCAACATGTATCACATGCTTAGGATCAACACAAGCCTGGGGTAAGCCACAGACTCCACCTCTAAGAGTCTGACCATGGAAACATCAGACACCCGTGGATAGTCATGCAGAAGCTCAGCATGGAGCCTGGTTGCCCAAGATAAAAAAGT